CTGGGTGCTGGCAGGTTTGCACCTGGCACGGGCACCGTAGCCAGCCCATGCCCCTTTAAGGGGTCTGGGGCCGGGAGGGGGGCAGATGAGTTTCCCTGGTGTTGGCCAGAGTGGCCACCAGGGAAACCTGGGGAGGGCTAGCCTCCCACTAGTTCGAATTAAGGGTCTACACAGCCCTTAATTCGAACTAGTAAATTCGAACTAGGTTTAATCCTCGTGGAATGAGGATTACCTAGTTCGAACTAAGCGCTCCGTTAGTTCGAATTAAATTCGAACTAACGGAGCGCTAGTGTAGCGCCTATGAAAGTTAGTTTGAACTAATGTCCGTTAGTTCGAACTAACTTTGTAGTGTAGACATACCCTAAGGTTTTTTTCTGACACCTCACATGGCCCTCTTTGTACCAACTTTTGGGGCAAATACCCCCCCGTGGGCACAGCAGTGATCTTGCTGTTCCCCTCAAAATCCAGTAACGTGACAAGCGGTTGGCTTGAGTAGACGGAAGTACATTTATTTCAAAATAATGTCTTTACTTTGAAATAACTTTGCTGTGTAGACATACCCTGTATCTCCAAAAACAACATGGAGTTTTGTGGCACCTTAAAGACTAATAGATTCATTTGGGCATAAGCTTCTGTGGGCAAATACCCACATCATCAGATGCATCTATTTGTTTATAAGGTGCCGCAGATCTCCTTGTTGTCTTTTGGTAAATATAATCTGGGAATTATTTGGGGGAATTTCTTTGGCCTACCATATATAGGAGGTTAGATTTGATTATCACAATAACCCCTTCTGGCCTTGAAATCTATAGAAGTAGTCATGGTTTTGAAGCTGGCAGGGAGGACTGATAAATTTACCACATAACTTTCCAACCCACAAAATGGAGGATAATTAATAATTTTATGCCTTTCTACAGGTGGATCCATGTAGTTTCAAAGGAAATGTATCATCTAGTCTGGTCTTTTTAATTCTCTTTCTCAGTAACTGGTAAGTAAAGTTTCCATAAACTAAGAAGCATGATTAAAGCATTACATCAGCAGCATTATCATGATATCTAGTTGCACTGATTGTAACAGGATATATTGCTCTTTCAACAGCTTTTACTGCACAAAAAGGCTTTATGAATGTGAAGATAATGAATATTATCAAATGAGGTTCATGTGTACCTCTGTCTGCAACTGGTACTAGTGTAGTAGTGGCACGTTCAAGAACAGAGATCATCTATTTCTCTTTATGTTTTCAGAAAGCCATACATTCTATTAATTTTATGCCTTTCATTTGCATGGAGTTACAATAGTCTCACATTCTCTAAAGTGCATGCCATTAATCAGAGAGAAAGTTATTTAAAGTGCAAAATAAAAGGACTGAAGTCTTGGCAAAGACTTGTATAGCCTGGAAAGAAAGAGGGATTTAATTTTTTTCTCAAATTCCCTTAATCCTGCTTATCTTCCACCCTTTCAAAGTATAGTTCTTAGAGTAAAATGCATGAGCAATCAGAATTAAAAATGATTAATAACAACTTCCAGAATTACTAAAAAGAGGCAACATGGCTTAATGGACTGCACATTGACCTCAGACTGGGTTCTGTTCCCAGCTCTACCTCTTGCCTGCTAGCTAACTGTGACCAAGTTATTTCAACATTCTGTGCTTTGGCTTTCCCACCTACGTAGTATGGCTAATGATACTTTCTGCCTTTGTACAGCACTTTGGAATCCATGCCTAAAAAATGCTATCTCGGAGTTATAAATTATGAATAATAATGATTTATGTTGCATGTTAAATGTACACGATGCTATATGTTAGAAGATAAGGCCAAAAACAACAGATCCATGTTTGAAGGAATTAACATGCTAAAGGAACAAGTAAAAACAAAGACGAGACTAAGACTGATACTCTGAGATGGGTGTTAGAATTAGAGCTTGAATATTTCACAGCATAGCTGGATTTTTATCTTCTTGGAAATAAATATTCTATTAATATTAATTAAATATTAATTAAATAAGTAAGTACATTAATAGTTACATTATGATTTAGCGATAGATTTTCTAAGCAATACATTGATTTTCCAGGGATGGTGGGAGTGGACATCTTAAAGAAATGAGATTACAGTGAAACTTACTTCCATCAATGAGGCAATGATTCAGATGATTCAGTAAACTGCTTAAGAATGCACCTAATTTTAAGCATGTGAGTAATTCTATCTCAGTCTCCTGTGAAACACCACTAAACCTAAAACTCCTCTCCCTCCTGTAGACCTAATCCCATCAGAACTTTCCTTCTGCAGTGTCAAAATCCTATTTCATATGTTTTCCATGAACATTCAAATGTCTGAGTTTTACTCCTGCAAATGTCTCCATGAAACGACTATTAAAGAGCTCACATTTGCAGATGCCAAATTTTAATCTTGAGTAAACTCAATAACAATAATAGTCTCAGCAAACTGATTGTGCTGGTTTACACAATTCATGTACACAGAAGGGATGCTCTCTTGTGCAGGAACTACGGGAAGTAATTCTGTGGATGTGTTATAGAGAAGGTCAAAGTACTTTTGAGTTGCTAATCTACTTTGCTCTGCCTGTTCTCACTTATTGCCACTTAAATCTTACTGCTTGTACTTAATAAAATCACTTTTCTTTTTTGTCAAACCCAGTATAAATAATTGTTACCTGGAGAGGCAACCAGTGTGTACATTCTCATTTTCATTGCTAAAGGGAGCTTATCTAGGTTGGACCAAAAGGAAGAAAACACACATTTAAATGTATCACATAACATCAGTATTTAATGACCATACAGATTACAAAGTGAAGTTTTAAACCCAGAATTTCAGCAACAAAACACAGAACTTTGTCACTTGAGCTAAAAGAATAACTCAATTAAATGGTAATAGTAGTCGGCTGTTATCCTCTACACATAACTAATCAGGAGAAGACAACCCGTCCCTCACACTTTCTAAGTTTGTTACAACAGCACAAAGGAAAATAAAAACCTTGTGGTGAGGTAGATTGTTTCATGCTTACATGCTCTTCTTGTGTATATGAAGGCTTTAAAGTCCCCAGACAAGTGACTATCTCACATGCATTTTGTACCCTCAGAAAGGTGAAAATGAATTGTAACAAATTGTATGATAAAATACGATTGGTAAAATATAATTGTGTGGAAAAATGAATTGCAGGTAAAATAGTGTCTCAGTTCATTTTCCTTAAATACAACACTAAATGAAAGGCTATTGGAATTAGTAAGTCACCTTTGGATTTGGTTTTCCTTTCAATGACAGCAAAACCAGCTTGCCTTGCCAAAGGCTGTTTTTACAGGGAGTCGTGCCAAATAGACACAAAAGAATATTTAAATCTGGAAAAATGAATTCAATGGATAGAGAAAAAGTGTCCCCTTGAGCAAACAAAGTACAAGCAGAACAGTCTGGGCTATACTCTACTCTTTAGTAAAAGAACAGATTCACTCCTTTGGCTTTAGTAGAATTACTTTGTATTGACACGAGTATTACTGTTTAGCCCATATCATTCATTGGGGGGTCTGATCTATAGCTACGAACAATAGAAACTTTACATACCTTCCTTGATTCTGCATTGGACCCCCTTATGTGTTAGATGTATCTATGTAAACTGCAATAATTGTAACCACTTTTTATTGTTGCATAAAAAAGCCTCCACCTGAGCTCACTAGATTTATATACATGGATTTTCTAAAGCTACACCAAACTGTAAGGTCTAAGGTTTTAAACTGCAACTTATTGTGATTCTTGTCAATCTTTGTAATCTGTGTAACTCTCAAACTTACTGTAAATTGCAACTTTGTAATCTTTGTAACATGCAGCCACCTTGCTTGTAACTTTCCCTAAGCTGCATTCTCCCCTGAGTGAATGGAGAGAGAGTGTGAGTGTGAGTGTGTTTGAAGAAGGCTTGGAACAATGGACCACATGGCAATGAGTCATCACAGTCTGGGCATGAGCTCTGCTGGATAAAGGGAAGTCTGGGCATGCTCCCTGATGACAAGGTGAAAGAGTCATAAGAGCCATTCAGACACTATATAAAGAGAAGGAGCACATGTGAGACTCTCTTTTTCCTTCCACTGATCCTGAAAAGTTCCCCTCCAGTGTCTTTCCTCCTGACCAGCTTCCCCAGCCATGATGAGCAGACAGACCCTCCAGGATCCACATGCCTTGGCTCCTTCTGTAACCATATGTCAGTGTAAGTGTGTGATTGTCTGATGGCAGGAATGAATGGGTGTGAATGAGTGAATGAATGGAGGGGTGTGTGCTTGCTTGCTTGTCTCTCTGTGTGTGTGAGAGAGAGCTCTATCTTCTTTATCTTAAACCTTCGGTGGCTGCTTTCTCCTCTTTATTTTTACCTAGTAGAAATAAACCCATGCTAGTGTAACCCTGGGTGGTCTCCAGTGAGAATATTTTTGGGGTAACATTTATTACCTAAAAATTGTTATTAAAATACCCCCAACAAAATCTGGTCAGCAGAGGGACTTTTTGTAGTCATTGGGTGCATCAGCTGTCTCTCTCTTTTGCCTACATTTTATATGTGCTTGTTTTGAAATCACAAGTTGACATTTGGAAATGCCTTTTTTGGCTTTTAGACCACATATTTTTGCAGTGGTGTGTGTGTGTCATTGTGAGTGCTGGTGTGTGCACACAACACTTATTAACAAGTAATAAAAGATGTTCTCTGGTTCACGTTTACAGTGGAGATTAGATTATGAAAGGTTAAACCATTAAACAAAAGCTAATGCACTCTGTTGCCTGGACCTTGTCCAATAGTACCTGTAGCAGCTGTCAGCCTAATTAAGCCAGATGTGTGTTAAGTGTAAACGGACCTCCCAGGAGGAACAATAACAGATTTCAGCTCCTTAGGGAGCTTAGGATAGCAGTGCATATAGTGTTTCTGAAGGAAACATCACCCCTACCTTGCAAGTTTTCTGCTCATTAGTACCACCTTGACTATACTCCATTGAAGCTAGACTGCAGGGAGGAGGAATGACTCTCATAATTCCAGCTAAGATTGTCAGTAATGTTCATTTTCAGTTGATTCTGGCAGTCATGTCATTTACTCAACGTATTAAACTCTGTTTTCAACCTCTTCTCAAATCTAAGTCTGGAGCGTATTTTAAAAGTGATTTTTACTTTAGGACAAATTTTCCAGCCATTTAAGTATATGTGCATGTACGTATATGTGCATTTAAATATATGTACAGACCATAAGCTGAAAATACACATCTTTGTGACATATGACAGTGTTACAAGAAATGAACAAAGAAACACTTGGTATTATATAAAACCTCCCCGTGTCCAACTTAATTAATTGTTTTTTGTTTGCCATCAAATGTAAGGCTTTCACTTCAAGCCTAGCCAAGGAGAGTCAAGTCTCAAAAAGGTCCCCTGAATATTGTTGAACTTAGCAACTATCTGTTCAGTCACATCACAGTCAAGCTATTGTGCCTCCCCACACATGAGAAGCTCATAAAGCGGCACAGGAGAACAGAACACAATGTGATTTTACTAAGCCAGATATTCACCCGTTATAAATCAATGCAGCTTCTTTGACTTTATTGGAACTATTCCATTTACATCAGCTAAGAATCTGGCCCTTAATTCTATTCAGGGTAATAATAATAATAGTAGCTAAAGAATGACACTTAGCTTTACTAGCACTTTTCACCTGTACATATTGATATGCAATGACTATTTAGCAAAACAAATCTGCTGGTCTTGGCTCATTCTACACAATATTCTGGGGCATTAAATTTAGTTCCTGTTTCACTGAAAAACATTATGCTATGCTGGCTAGTATACTGGGGTTATTTTTGAAAAATTCCATAGTAATGACTGTAGCTCTTGCTGTGGTTTTATTGTGAGGTGGGCATATAATGTTACTAAATTATACAGGAAAGTACATTAATCTGGGAGGATAAAGTTGTTCAATAATATCCAGAAGACATGGGATTAAGATTCAGTAGTTTCTGGCTTCTATAGTACAGTGTGAACCTCTATAGTTCTTTTCAAGAACTAGGGGTCATGAAACTAAATTAACAGGGAGCAGGTTTAAAACAAACAAAAGGAAATTTTTTGTCACATGGCGCACAGTCAACCTGTGGAACTCCTCGCCAAAGCATGTTGTGAAGATCAAGACTTTAACTGAGTTCAAAAAAGAACTAGATAAATTCATGGGGGTTAGATCCATCAATACTTATTAGCCAGAATGGGTAGAAATGGTATCCCTAGCCTCTGTTTGTCAGGGGCTGGAAATGGATGACAGGAGAGGGATCACTTGATGATTACCTGTTCGATTCACTCCCTTTGGGGCATCTGGCATTGGCCACTGTCAGAAGACAGGATACTGGGCTCACCCAGTATGGTCGTTCTTATGTTCTAGTCCTGCACCCTTGGGACCTCACTAGTGCTGAACCAGAGAATTTTCCACATCACAGGAGGTCAATAACAAACTTTATGGAGCCACGACCACACCCATTATAAATTGACATCCAGCTTACTAAAATCATACCAGACCACAGATGTTGCCGGATCAGAGTGCCAGACTAGAGAGGTTCTCCTGAATTATCATACTCCCTCTTAATAGCTGCCTAAGATCAGGAGTTGGAGGAGCTTGTTCTAAGCTCCCTTACAGTTAATAATTGTTTACTGTCTCACTATTGCTTAATTCTGCTAATGTATTATGTAACAGTCACCTTATTACTCTATTATTTCAGCATGTTGTAGCAAAATAATTTCATTCGCTTTTGACAAAACAGGTAATGCTTTAGTGATGAGGACAATATTAGTTTGTCAATCAGTACACCACACAGTTCTTCATACCCCTGTAGGAATGAGGACAAAAGGGAGGCAACCTACATGAGGTTTTTCTGGAAACTCTCTGAATTTTCCTGTTGGTGGTGAGGATAGGAGACAGTGTGTGTTTCCTTTGTAGAACAGTTTTTGCTGTTTCAGTATAACCAGCCCCATTATCAGAAATCCTAAATCAGGTCTCTAGTTCCGTCCCCTGTAACCTTTAGAGTGGGCATCTCCTGAATGTGATGGAGTCCCTTTAAGCATTATGTTGGTAAATATTAGTATTTTATCCACAATCATTACTATGAGTGTTTAAGATAATTACATGCAAATGGTGAACTGTATAATAATGTCTGTAGGGAATTGTAATATTATATTTACAGGGATTATGTCTCCTGATCAGTGCAAGATAGGTTGTAATCTCCCATTTCAAATCACTTTTACTTTGTGATTGCGGGGAGACCCTCATTATACAGCATAGCAGTGAGGCCTATGCCAGTGAGTGGGCTGTACGAGTGGTCCTCTATCATCTCAGTGGGCTGCCAGATTGTCATAACAAACACAGTATCCTGCAATAGGGTAGATAGGGTAGATTTGCTAACTGCATTTGCATACCTAGAATTTGTGGGGTGTGACAATTGAACTGTAGCAGCACTTTGATTAGATGCAGAGGGAGCACACGGCTCTCATAATGTTGTGTGCCATCAGCACTCACTTCACATTCCCTTGTTTTAAGTGTTTGTCACTTTTGTAATACTGGTAGGAAAAAAAATACATGGATGAAAATCCATAGAATCTGGCAATGCTGTGTGTGGACAATGGTAAACAAAATGTCTCATGGGCCACATATAGAACCCCAATGACAGCATGCGGCCATTGGGCTGCTGGCTGCCCACCACTACAGCATAGTGATCAAATAAAGATAATGAGGATCATTATATTGCAAGAATAAACTTTACATTACTAAAGAGAAAGAACATGTATTTCACCCACATTTATGGAAAGTTAAACAGGAAAATTCAAACTGGTATAACATTCCCTATAATAATCTGTACTATATGCTGATTTACCTCTTATGAAATAAAGAATTATATAGTAGGAGATGCTGAGTGCTTTCAAAAGGTTTTCAAATCAATTAATCATCTGTATGTTTTTTCACAGAAGCCGATGACAGACAAATGAAGAAAGAGTTTCAGTAGCTTACGGATATCTGATCAAAAAGATTTCACATGTAGAAAATCCAACATTAAAAACGTCTTTGCCTTATAAATATGTAATATCCCTAACAACAGCACATAAAAAAAAAGAATTAGTGATTTAAGTGGTCAAGTTATAAAACATAGTGAGGGCTAACTTGGTCATTTTCCAAGAGTTTATAAACCAAAAACTGTGAGAGCTCAGAGTCAGATGTAACTGTTTCCCTTTTAACCTGACCATTTGAACAGCTGCCATCCCTTTGTAACATAGCTGGCTTTTGGGTAACATATCTTTTTATGTCTGGCAACTTTTCTAATTTTCCTGTTTTATGTTATATGACACAGAATGTACTTCTTTTCTCCCCGGAATTTATTTATGTATTTATTTTGATCCAGAAAAGAAGTAAAACCTAAATAAATATATGATAGCATTGATTGCTGGATGGACAAAACATTTGTGATGTATATTGTGTGTGTGTGTGTGTGTGTGTGTGTGTGTGTGTGTGTGTGTGTGTGTGAGTTCGAATTAGGCTTCCTAATCTGAAATATCTGTATTCCTCGTGGAATGAGGAGTACAGCTAGTTCGGATTAGGAAGCCTAATCCGGACTAGCTAGTCTGTGCTGCGCGTAGCCGCGCGGCACGGGGTCCGACCTAGGCTGGCTTCATGCAAATGAAGCCCGGGAAATTCAAATCCCGGGCTTCATTTGCAAGTGCAGTATGCCTACATTACCCTCCTAGTTTGAATTAGGAGGGTAGTGTAGACATACCCAGAGAGAGAGAGAAAGACTCATGCATGCATACACAGAGAATGTATGTAAGATATATTTGTTCAGCATGTCCCATTATATTATTCTTATTTCAATAAGAGGATTTCGATCTGCATTTAGCATACATTGTCATGTGGCACATCATACCGACTGCCTTGATCACCTGTTTATGACATGTGTTTTGTATACAGAAGTGACCTTGTTAAACAGCAATATGCCACCAAAATTAGATGATAAGTTTTCAAGGAATTCAAATTTGAAATTGGGGAATTACTAACTGTGGTATGTAACCTATCCCTTAAATCAGCTCTGTACCAGATGATAAGCTGCTTGAGAAGAGATACAGTAGAGGTCCATAAAATCATAAATACTGTGGAGAAAGTGAATAGAGAAGTGTTATTTATGCTGCTGCCTGCATATAATACATGAACCTGGGCCATTCAATGAAATTAATAGGAAGTAATATTAAAACAAACAAAAGGAAGTACCTCTTCACATAACATACAATCAACCTGTGGAACTGCTTGCCAGAGATATTGTGAAGGCTGAAAATATAACTGGGTACAGAAAAGGTTAATGGAGGAGAGGTCCTTCAATGGCTATTTGCCAAGATAGTCATGGGCATCCCTAAACTTCTGACCACTAAAAGGTGGGACTGGATGACCACTTAATAAATTACTCTGACTTGTTCATTTCCAGTGAAGCAACTGGCACCGGCCGCTATTGGAAGACAGACTACTGGGCTAGAGGGATCATTGGTCCAAACCTGTATGGTCATTCTTATGTTCCTGTTTTGAGTGTCTTAACTCAGGGTGTGTCTAGACTACAGGGTTTTGTCGACAAAAGTGGACTTTTGTCGACAAAACTATATCTGCGTCCACACTATCGCTGAGTTCTGTCGACATAACCTCGACAGAACTCAGCAGTTTTGTCGATGCTGGTAAACCTAATTTTACGAGGCATAACGCCTTCTGTCGACAGAGTTTCTGTCGACAGAAGGTGTTATTGCATGTAAACTCTCCTTTGCGTCTACACTACCATGTCGACAAAGCAGCTTTCTTTGTCGACAGAACTCAATGTAGTCTAGACGCTCTTTGTCGACAGAAGTTTTGTCGACAGTATCTGTCGACAGAAGCCTGTAGTCTAGACATACCCTCAGAGACTATGTCTAGACTGCAGGCTTCTTTCGGAAGGAGCTTTTCTGGAAGAGATCTTCCGGAATAACTTCTTCCGAAAGAGAGTGTCCACACTGCCAAAGCGCATCAAAAAAGCCATCTGCTTTTTCAAAAGATGGCATCCACACTGAATAGACGCTATCTCACATGTAGGCTCTGATGGAGTGGCCACCAGGGCACCTGTGCTTTTTCCTCTTTCCTCTTCTTTTGAAAGAACTCCCTCTTCCCCGTCCACACATGCCTTTTTCTGAAAAAGCTCTTTCGGAAAAAGGCTTTTTCCTCATAGAATGAGAATTACCAATGTCGGAAAAACCCCTCTGTTCTTTCGATTTTCTTTAGAAAGAGCACAATTACAGTGTGGACATATCTCAAGTTGAGGGGTTTTTTTTTCGGAAAAAGGGCCGTTTTTCTGAAGAAAAAAAAACCCACCTCTGTAGTGCAGGCATACCCAGAGACATGAAGCTTTGGGCTAAAAACAAATGAGCTGAAAATGCTCTTCCCCTTTGAAAATCAGGCCCTATGTGTCTGAAGTTTGGTGTCCAGAAATGAGATTCCCCAAATCAGAGGTCAGTTTGAATACAGTAGAATTTGGTTGTGTATTTAATACAGAGAGGGAGAAAAATACCAAATGTGTGGAGGTGAGGCTATATGATAGATTACAGAGCTATGTGATGAATAATTTAATTATATTTTTGACCTCCTCTACTTTTACCCACTAATCCTTCTGGCTTCACATTTCAGACTTCTGGAATACTGCTTTGGGATCACTTGCATAATGCCAGAGTTGTTGGCTCCACCACAAATGAGTAATCTCTCTATCACAAAAGCATTATGACAAAGGTTTTATACCCTACCACACCATGCTATCATATATTCCCTATGGATTCTGCACTGAAATAAGTATGAGCAGGAGCAGACCCTAATACATATCATGTGTACCCATATGACAAACTGAGGTGCACGAATCATTCTGTGGTCTCCCTGACAGGAGGTTATATGTTCAGAGATAGACAGCAGGTAAGTTAATGCTGACTCAGAGTTTTGAGGCTCAGAGCCTCCTGGGTCTATAGATTTATGCAGGAAAAAATAATGAAGAAGGTATAGAGAGTAATAAAGGTGCTTTTACAGTCAGGTGGAGGTGATAGCTAAGAAGTCTTGAAATTTGCAGTTTCCTTGGAGTCGCCTCCATGTTCATTCTAGTCAGGGTAGGCTTAATCCTTTATCCTGAAAGTTAATAAACAGAGATAAGTGCAGTTTAATGTCTGGATTTTTCTAATAAAACAGTGGTAGCTCAAATGCTAGCTGATTTTTGTGGAAGGCAAATACCTCATGGTGCAAACTGTAAGAATAGTCCTCTAGAGAGTTGCACTGTAACAATGTAATTTTCTGTCATGGTTCATCTTTTCCCTTTCCCTTTCCCTTCCTACTGGGCAGCATCCAGTCCACCAGTTGCATGCAGCCTTCTATCACAGAGGCCACTGTAGTTCCGTGCAGCTCTCTGTTTGGGGTTTGGGAGGGAAGGTGCTGTAGGAATGTAAAATACTGCAGTAAAGTTCCTAGTATCTGAATAGCATGGGGGGACATGGTTTTTATTTGGATAACTGGGAGTTTGGATAGTTGAGAGGTCAGGAGCCAGTCAGTCTTCCCCCTCCCCCACCCTCTGCCCCGGGCTTTGTGGCTCATCCTTCCACTCCTCATAGTGTTGGCCAGGGGTCTCTGCTCTATTATCCCAGCTTCACATTAACTGAATCCCCTCTTTGTCCCCCAGCATGAGATCATGGGGCAAAGAAAGGATTCAGATAATATGGAGGTTCTGCTAATAGGATTTCAGATAAATGGGTGTATAGGGTATTACCAGATGCTCTTCTTGATCGGTATGTGCCGAGTTGAGGCAGCTCATTTACAGACATGTCTGCAAGCCACTGGTTTGGCCTAATACTAATGAACAGAAAGGACTGCTGCTTTGGTGGGATGGCTTTAGCCTTCAATATGTTGATAAAGTTATAGTAACAACCTACAGGTATTTAAAAAAAAACTTTTCTGATTGCACCTTGTCACAGTCTCTGCTAAAATGTCCTCAGCATTCAAATTCCAGTGTATAATATCTTTGCCTTAACACCTAGCGTATGTAATTATGGAATGAAAGAATTATCTTTCATATCTTAAATGCCAGTTACCATATGGCTTTATAACTATTCATTGTATTTTTATTTCTTGTCTAAAAAGAGAATTGAAGTGGTGTAAAAATTTATTACGAATGGTATTTTTGGTTTAAAACTTTCAGGGGAAATTTCCTCCAACAGTATGAATGCTGACAAATGCTGCTGTTGGGGTATTTTTAGCAATTGATCACCTTCATCTACTGCACCTTTTTATTTGTCTCCCAAAACTCTAAGGCGGCTCTGTCAGATAATTGTATTTTTGTTTAAATTATGAAATGCTCGTTCAGGTATTGAAGACAATATACAGTCCCAAAAAATCTTATCTTTCTTTAACCAAAGATACTCAGAGGGAGGGGTAGAATCACAAGGCAAGCTTATAACAGTATAATTAATCTTACTGTTTCACTGATTTCATAAACTTAGTACGGCTCATATTTCTGGATCACATGTGGAGGGAGAATATTTTTTCCGAGTGTTAAATACAAGGATTAAGTTACAAGTTCAGTCCAGTTGTTGCTTTAGGAATGCAGCTGTGTTCTGTCATTTGATAGCTAAAACCAATCACAGAATTTTAAAAAGTGAGGAACATTTTTGTTTCAGCCTCACATTTACATTGTTGCTCAAAGTATCTGATGCCCTTTTGTGATGGTGTCATTGCACTATTTCTGTAGTCATTTGATTCCAACCTTCTAGTCACCATACTTTTTTACTCCCTTATTCTCCTAACATATGACTCCCAGTCTTTCCCCCCAAAACTATTCACAAAGGTTCTATAGTATTTTCATCTCCTCCTCTACAACCTCTCTTTCCTTACCAATATTTATTTTTCCTTCCATGTTTGTCTTATTCCCACCTTGGGTGATCTTTCTTCCAGTTATGACTCATCTTTCACACTTACCCTCTGCTTTTTCTATCTCATTATGCCTTTATACCTTCCTTCTGGGGTTTTCCAGGCCAAACCTTTGCCACTCCTTTTTGCTGTCTTTCCCACTAAAATTCTTGCTCCACCTTCAGAAATTTTGCCTTCATTCACAACCTCTATTTTCTGCTGTTTGTACCTCCTGCCTAACATCCAGCTCTTTGCCTCTAACTCTTCCTCCAGCCATGTTGTTGCTAGTTACATTATGTAAAATGTGATTGTATTATTAATCATTCCCATTATAACAACAATATCATTATAAAAAATCAAGAACACATCATTAAAATATTGGATCCATTTAAAACATTTGAGCATAAAAATATTCAAATGCCCAGGAA